AGACAGTTAGAGACAGAAAGCAAAAGTGGAAAAGCACCTCCCAGTGAACATAGCCACGCTGCAGTCCTTTCCCCTCCATTCTCCTCTCAGGGATTTGGGCACATGTGCATACGCGCCTGTGGTGTTTTTCAAGCTGCCAGGTCTGGGACTAGAACTGCATAGTTGGCCAGGTGGGACCCAGCCACCTTAACCACCATGACATCTGCCAGCCTATTATTTCTATTTTTTTAAGTGTCACTAGGATTTTGTTAGAGACTACATTAAAACTGTAGATCACTTTGGGTAATATGAATTTTTTTCTGTCTCCTTTGATTTCTTTCACTGATATTCTGTAGTTTTCAGTGTATTAGTCTTTCACATCCTTATTTAAGCATATTCCTAAGTATTTTTTATACCTTTAAGATATAAACTGAATTTTGTATGTTAATTTTGTATCCTGCAACTTTACTGAATGCAGTTATTAGCTACAATAGTTTTTTGTAGGGTTATCTGAATATAAAATTGTAAACATATGCAAAGGTACAATTTTACTTCTAACTTAGTGATGTGGATGCCTTTTATTTCTTTTCTTTTCTAATTACTCTGGCTAGGACCTCAAGTACTATGTTCAATAGTAATAGCAAAAATAAGATCCTTGTCTTATTCCTAATCATAGGGAAAAAAGTTTCAATTTTTAATAATTGCGCATGATGTTAACTATAGACTTTTCATAAATGGCCCTTACTATATTGAGTTACATATCTTTTATATGTAAATTTATTGACTTTTTTAGCATTAAATAATGTTAAATTTTGTCAAGTGCTTTCTCAGCATCTGTTGAGATTACAAAGTGATCTTTATCTTCGTTCTGCTAATATAATATGTTACATTCATTGATTTTTTACATGTTGAACTCTTCTCGTATCTGAGAAATGACACCTACTTGGTGTATATTTTCATTATGCTGTTAGGTCCCACCTGCTTGTATTGTGTTGGGTTGTTTTTGTATCTATATTAATCAGAATTATTGGCCTATTATTTCCTTTTCTTGTGATATCTGTCTAGCTTTGAAATAGGGTAATGCTGGAATCTTAATTCTTCCTCAAATGTGTAATAGAATTTACCAGTGAAGCAGTGCGGTTCAGGGCTTTTCTTTGTTGGAACGTTTTTTGTTTGCTTGTTTATTGATTTCTCCCACAAGTAAGAGAGACAGAGACAGCACTCCCAAGAGGGTCTTCACACTATGATCCACTCCGACTTTAGCCACCCCACCTCTGGTGTACTCAGGAGATCTCCCGACATGAACTGCGAAGCATCCCATGTGGGTTAGCCCCAGAGAGACTGTGCTTTCTCACTGCAGCACCATCCGGCCCCTCACTAGGGAGCTTTTGATACCGATTATGTGCATACTAGTTATAGGCTTGTTCAGATACTGCAACTTAGCACGCTATCTACCCTGGAGAAAGTTTTGTAGTAATTGAGACAGAAGGTGTATTCTGCTGCAGCTGGGCAGAATGTTCCTTACATCTGGCAGGTCTTAGCCTGTATTGCTGTTCAAGCCCAGTGTTTCCCTACTGATCTTTTGACTGTTCTGTCCATTAGTGAAAGTCAGTATTGAAGTCTCCAACTACTACGCTGCTACTTATTTCTATCTTTAACTCTGTTAATATTTGCTTTATATTTTTAGGGTCTCTAATATGTAGTACATAAATATGTATAATTACTATATATTCCTGGTAGATTTATCCTTTTATCATTTTGTAATTATCTCTTTGTTATTTGTGACAGTTTTTGACGTAATGTCTATTTTGTCTACATGTAGAATCTCTGCTTCCTTTTGGTTACCACTTCTATGGAACAACCTTTTCTCCTTTGGGTTTGTTTTGTTTTAAGAGGTTTTTGCCTTAGGGCACATGCTCTCACTTGAAAGAGACAGAGACAGTGAGAAGGAAAGTGAGAAATCACACCATACCCCCCAGGAGGGATGGCTGTACCACAATCCCTCCTCCTTCATTCCCCTCTCAGGGGATCTTGGCATGCACACACATGTGCCTGGTGTGATTTTCAAGTCACAGGTTCAGGACTTGAAACATGGTTGGTCATGTGGGAGTCCAGTGACATATCACTGTGTCATCTGCTGATTCCTGAAATATCCTTTTTTATCATTTAATTTCTAGCCTATGTGTTCTTAAATCTAAAATGAGTGTCATACCAACAGCCCAAACATTTATACAAGTTCCCTCTGTTTATATAGGGGGAAAAGCATGTTCATACTCACTATAATTAATAAATATTTTACTGGGCATATTAAGTCAGTAAAATAGATCAGAGAAAGAAGGCAAAAGTATAAAAATCGGAAAGGAAGAGATAAACTATTTGTACTGGATAAAACTGTGAGTCTAGGAAACTCAAATTTAATAAGTGAATTTACTAAGTCAGCAGGGTACAAAATTAATTTACAGAAAGTAATAGCTTTTAAAATATATGAGGCTACCTGTAAAGGAAGAAAAAGATTAATTTATATGGGCAACAAAACAGATAAAATACCTAGTAATTAACTTAATAAGAAAAATACAAGACATATATAAAAATAATGGATACTGGAGAACACAAAAGAAATTTTGAGTAATACATGCTATATTTAGATATATTAATTCTCACCATCTTGAAGATAATTTTTCTAGAGTTAATTTAAAATGTTAAAGTGATGTAAGTAGTAAGTTGGTCTGTTAGAATTAGATAAGCTAATTCTAAAATTGATATGGAAAGATAAATAAGCAAAAGTAGCTGGAGAAAAATCTGAAAAGAACTAACAATCTGAGACTAGCCCTGTTTATATTAAAATATGTAATAAAATAATTAAACCCATATATATTGAAATATAAAGTCACAGTATAGGTGCATGTCTAGAACAGTTTAGAACAAAGAAACAGAATTGAAAATCCAGAACTAGACCAAATAACATAGGGAAACTTAGTATTTGATAAAGATGACATCTAAAATGTGTTGAAGGAAGAAAGATAAAAATTATTTAGATAGTTGAGTAGCCATCTGAATCTATACCTCACACCATACACTAGAAAAAAATTTTCAAATAGACTGATGATTTGTACAATAGACAAAATGAATCTTTAAATTACTAAAGACAATGTGACAACATCTTTTTAAACTTTTTAATCTTAGTTATTCCATGAGCAAGAGAGAGACAGAGACATGGCATCCCAAAAAGGGTCCTGCTGCTGAGATTCCCCCAGCCTCCCCCAGCCTGGATCATGGGCAAACGTGCCCAGAGTACTCAGGGAGGTCATGGGTCACAACCTAGCAACCTTCTCCTGTGGGTCTGGTTAATGGAGGCACCGTGTTCTACTGCTGTGCCGCCATGAAGCCCAGCAGGATCTTCATCTTAGAGTGAAAGAGCTTTTCTAAATAAACCTAAAAAATCTACAAACCATAGGGAAAACTTAACAAAACCATATCAGTTAGGGGGTCAGCTGGAGCATGGTGGTTGTGGAAGCTGGATTCCTCATGGTTAACTACGTCGTTCAAGTCCTGGACCAAGAGGTTTGGGAAGCACGTCAGGTGCATTTGTGCATATGTGCCCAAAATCCTGAGAGGAGAACGGAGGAACACTGAGGTGTAGCCATCCCCTACACGTTCTCCTCTCTTTCACGTGCCCTATAGATTTGCACAACTTCCCTGAAAGGTAATGTGGAAATACTGCAATTCCATACACACTTTGACCCATAATCACACTTCTGAGATTTTACTCTGCAGTTATTCTCACATACGTTTAAGAGGAAATATGTAAAAGGTTATTTTGTGGCATTTTCTGTAGTAGCACGTAATCTACAACAATCCAAATGCTAACCCACACAAGACTGGCTAAATAAATTATGATACATCAATACTAAAGACAATAACATATCTGGTTAAATAATAGTAATGAGAAAATTCACTAGTACTCATATGGAGAGATTTCCATGAAATGACGTAAAGTGAAAGAATGCACGATGCCAGATATTATGTCTATTAGGGTATCTTTCTTACAAAAGAGGAGAGACTAAAATTTTTAATTTTCTTCTAATCTGTATTGTGTAGATCCTGAAAGACACACAAGCAAATGCTGATGTTGTTCCTTTGGACAGGGAGGCACAGAGGTAAACCTGCAAATCACAATCGGTAATGAGGGGAAGCTTTCACTTTGCCCCCATCACATATAGAATTCTGAACAGGTCTCATGAAAAATCATAACAGAGGGACCAGCAGTTAGTGTAATGGCCATGTAGTCGACCGCGGTTCGAGTCCCAGACCCGGTGGCTTAAACTCACGCGGGCGCGTGTGTGTGCGTCCCAAGATCCGGAGAGGAGAATGGAGGAGAAGGGTTTGCGGCGTGGCCATCCCCCCTGGGGGGTGATTTCTTGCTTTCTGTCTCTCTGTCTCTCTCTGTCTGTCTGGCGAGCGCACATGTCCAGTAGCAAATAAAACCTCTCAAAAAAAAAAATCATAACAGAAAATACGATGCATGTTTTCTCAGTGAAAACAAAAACGAGCATCGTATAAAGGAAAAATAAAATGACACAACATATCAGATTTTTCAAGCACACTAAGATATTACAGCAATCAATATAAAGGTAAGTGATGGTGAACCTACAATTTGATATTCATCCAATTTACTTCTTGTTTGTAGAAGCAAAAAGCAACACACATTCAAATATTCAGTAAGTATTTAAAAAAATCTAAGAATACTTAAGAGAAAATAATAAAAATAAATACTGGTGAGTGCATTTTCAGTAAGGGAAATAACATTTATAGTTAAGTCTAAATTTACAGATAAATTATCAGCAACTATTTAGAGCAACTAAGTTTATTCACTGGGTTAAATTCCTCTAGGTCTAAAACAAGACTTTTGCATTAGATTGCAAAAAGACACAAAGGCAATGTGGCACAAGGCTACCTATAACTCCTGTAATTTTCAAAAGGTAATGGGAAAGAATAACAGCACTAAGAATGCTTCATTTTACCTTACAGTAAAACGTAGGATTCTCTTCTTCATGGGCTTCTGCATCTGATTCAGATATTTTGTTCGATCCCAATTAATCAATTGTTCCTTCAAAGGAAGGGCTTGGGCTTCAACAGAGGGCGAGAATAGTGCGGAAAGTGCATTGGCAATTCTCCATCCAATATACTTGGAGAAAACTTCTTCTCCTCCATTTGATGAAACTTTTGAACTATATCTAGTGAAAGGATCAGTTGGGTCATTTAACTCAGCCTGTTGATAGAAAAGAAAAAAATACCAGTTGAAATAGAAGCAAATGAGAGGAAATATGAAGTATTAATAAATAAAAGATAAAATATATGTTCATCAATTAATGTTGCTCAATAAAAATTACCTTTATGAGAAGAAAATGTTTTCTAAAAAGATTTTAAAAATCATAACAACAATGTTTGGTGAAATAAATAACTACACATTAATACATCTAGTTCTAAAATTTTGAAAATTTAATTATGCAATCTTTATTTTAAATTTGGTATACTTGGCATACAAGAGTTTCATAAACTTTTATAAAGTGCACTTAATAAGAATAAGCAATCAGTGGAAGCTATGCATGTTTTAATAAATCAGATTTTCATTTTTCTGTGTACACTCTGAATTTTCTTTGAAATCAACAGAACATTTCTTTTTTATTTTTTTAATTTAGCCAAAGGGCACATGCAATCACCAAAGAGACAGAGAGCAAAAAAGCACCCCTCATGAGGTGTGGCCCCGCTGCAATCCCTTCTCCTAGATGTCTCCCCTTTTGGGGGATTTTGGGTATTCACGAAAACACACCAGCATGTTTCTTAAACCTCCAGATCCAGGACTCAAACCACACAGTTGACTGTGTGAGATCCAGCTGCCTTAACCACCATGCCATGGGCTATCCCCAGAACATTTCTAATTTTTTTTTTTTTTTTTGAGAGAGAGAGTTTTGCTATAGGGTGCATGTGCTCACCAGACATACAGAGAGACAGAAAGCGAGAAGTCCCCTCCCCACGGGAGATGGCCATGCTGCAATCCCTTCTCCTCTATTCTCCTCTCGGGATCGTGGGCACATGCGCCCTGCGTGAGTTTTAAGCCACCGGGCCCGGGACTCGAACCACGGTTGACTACATGAGAGTCCAGCGACCTAGCCATTACGCTAACTGTTGGTCTCTCCTCAGAACATTTCTGTAGAACCATTTTTTTTCAGGTGAGAGACAAGGGCTTTGAATTAACTTAAATTGAAGATGCTTTAGGATTTAGATTTTAGATTTAGATTTTGATTAAATTAAATGTTGTAAGAAAAAATTAAAATTTCACAATATTTAAGCAGTCTTTATTCAAGAAAAAGCTACTTACTAAAATTTCCCATTTATGTTTGATAATGTTCATAACTGGCTTTTAATTACTTCTTTTGAAATGGCTCGAGGCATATTTTCTAGTAGTACTAAATGAAGATGTAAGTAAAATGTCATGTGTTATAATTTCTTTTTATGTTCACAATATGTTCATACGAGAGACTCTTTTTCATATAAATAAATTGGATACTGCCTCTTTTTATTTCAACTTTTACATTTTTATTGAATATTATCCATATTCATGCAGTTCATTACCAGTCACTCAGGATCCATTGTAGATGTCTATCAATCCTGTGGTAGAAAATATAAAAATGGAAAATATTTGCTGCATATAAAAATCGAACTCTTTGGGAGTAACCTCTTTAGGATTCCAAGAACAGGCTTGGCCTAATTAAGTTACTGTTGAAAAACTGACTATTGTATTACCTAGACAATATTATAGTGAAAAAAATAAGCACAGCCTCATGACAAAGACTGGGAAGACATGCTCGAACACTAAGAAATTGGCAAAAGACAGGTAAACCAACATAGACAACTATGGAGACCATAGAATGTAGGACGGCTAACAGGAAAATGAAAAAATAAATTTTAAATCATAGAAAAGAGTAACGTAAAAATTATTCAAACTGGTAAGTATATAATATAGCAATCCACTTCTGGGTATATATGCCGAAGGAAATGAAATCAGTATGTCAAAGAAATAACCACATTCCTGTGTTCAATGCAGCAGTATTCACCATGTCCATGATGTGAAATCAACCTATGTGCCCATCGACAGATGAAAACGTGATACACACACACACACACACACACACACACACAAACACCATGGAGTACTATTCAGTCATAAAAAATAAGGGAATCCCATCATTTGCAACATGAATGAACCTATAGAATAGTATAAGTGAAATAAATCAGACACAGAAAGATAAATACCAAATAATCGCAATTGTGTGTGGAATCTAAGAAAGATGATTGCAGAAAGGTATAGAGTAGAATGAACGATTATGAGAGGCTGAGGAATGGATAGGAGTTTGGAGAGAGATTAGTCAAAGGATACAAAATAGTAGTTAGAAAGGACAGACAAGTTAAAGAAGCCTCTTGTACAATAGGGTGAATGCAGTTTTTATAACATGTTATAGTTCATGTAATATATAACAATTTATTGTACTCTTGAAAATGCTTAGGGAGTGGATTTTAAGTGTTCTCACCACAAAAATAATAACCACATGAAGTAATGCATATACTAATTAGCTTAATTTAGCCATTCCATGTTGTTCATGTATTTCAAAACATCATGTACATACTAACTATACACGATTTTGTCAATTAAAAAAATAAAATCTTTTAAAAATAGTGACATCACCAAAGAGGAAAATAACTTTATCACTAGTCCTCAGGGAAATATATTCAATTTTAAACTATCTTTGATATCAATTATCTCTGGATATGGAAGTCAGTATACAATTATGTTTGCATTATTCTCATTTGAGCTGAGTGCCCTGTTTGTTAACCAGATTAAAAACCATGAAAATAGTATCCCATTTGAAAAAAGAAGTTAAGGTGTCTCTGACACTTAGTAGCTATTGTAACCTTGAGGATATTATTTAACATCTCAGAGTCTGCATCTTCATCTGTAAAATGGTAATCTTGATGTTTGTTATGTAATTTTCACTCTGTTTACCTTCTTTGGCTTAAGATTTTTAAATTTTTATTTATTATTATTAACTTTTTAATTTGGCTATAGGCAATGTGTGCTCACCAGAGACAGAAAGAGAGAAAGAGAGAGAGAGAGAGAGAAAGCAAGCAAGCCTCCAGGTCCAGGACTCAAACCGAAGTCGGCCATGTGGGAGTCCAGTGCCTTAACCACCATACCACATGGTGTCCCCGGCTTAAATTTTTATAAGAATGGGTACTTCAAAATCAATAGCAAATAATTTTTAACAAATATATTACAGTGAACTCTTCAATTAGTAAGGTAGTGGTGAATAAACATGAGTAAATGAATGGACCAAAAAATGTCTAATTTCTGGTAAAATACATTGCTACCAAGGGTAATATAACTTGCATTGGATGCTCTTTTCATCATGTTTCACTGGCCTACTCCTCACTTTGTTCCCACCAAGATAGGATGAGCTGAAAATCCAGAGTCCAGCTCGCTGAGCTCATTAGAAGCATTTCCCTTTCTTTTACTAAGGTTCTTAGGCTGAAAACTCAGGTAAATTTCCATCCCCCATTAATGTCCAAGAATTTCAATTTACAGAAATTTAGTCTTAAATATTAGTCAAACATATTTTACCTATCTATTGTTTATTGTTTTTTTAGTAGGGGAAGATAATATGGCCGCTGCAGTTTGAAAGGTCTGAAACCAGATCTAGCTCTTCCACTTAGTAGTTGAGAATGCAAACTCATGAAGCTGAGTGAAATGCTCAAGCCCTTTTTTGTTTTAGGTTTGATCTATCTTAGTTTTCATTTGTGCATGCAGATAATAATCATTACATTTTAGTGTCTTGTGAGAGTTAAATTAGATCACATAACATGATCTGTTTGGCAGATAGTGAGAAGCCCAACAGGTATCATCCCTGTTTAGTTTCCCTGGACAGAGCATTACTTCTATGACCTTCACAGGAGCTCCTACCACCAACCTCAGAAAACTCAAGCCAACTTCTGTCATGCCAAAAAGAACTTGGTTATATCTTTACTTTGACATTATCAAATTTGTAAATAAGATCATGAATATACTTTTATAACATCTTCCTTCTTCTCCTAAAACCTTTACTCTAATATGTTATAGTTCAGAGACAAAAGTAACATCTATGTAGAAATTTAAGTCTATACTTCTGAGAGTACAGTTAAACAAATATTAATTACTCCTTTACAATACAGTTCAAATTCATAAATATACTATTATTTATTTAGGTTGCCAATGAGCATTACCATCTTTTACTATTATTTATATGTTACTAGTTTTTTGTTTGTTTGTTTTTTTAAGGAGGTGCTCCTTATCTGAGACCATTAAAATTTAATTTCTTGTGGGCTAGGAGATGGCATAGTCGTTACATTGCCGGACTCCTACATGGCTGACCATGATTGAATCCTGAACCAGGTGGCTTGAAAATCATGCAAGGTACATGTGCATTCATGCCCAAGATCCAGGGAGAAGGATGGAGAAGGGATTGTGGCATGACCATCCACCTTGGGGGTGGGGGTGATGTCTCACTTTCTCTCTCACTGACTGCCCCTCTCTCTCTCTCTCTCTCTGGTGAGTACATGCATCCTAAGGCAAAAACCTCTTAAAAATCATTGATTTATTCTTTATTAAGAAACGAATGACAGTTTTTGATTATCTATGATAATTTTAATACTTTAGAATTAAACTGGAAAATAGGGTTTTTGAAGACTATTTCTCTCACATACATATATCCTAACTATAGGAAGAAACAAAAGCTCATGCTTTGATTTTACATTGGACATAAAGATGATAAAAACCAGTGTTAATGCAAGTTGGCAGAAAGAAAATTGACAAATCAACACAAGACAAAATTCCCATAAGTTACAATATAATTCCAATTTAAAACAGAACAAAACATACCTCTTCAAAATTACTAATATTCCATCAATATTAGTGAAATATAGCAAATACACCAAAATTTGATCTAATCATATTAAGATATGAGAGAAAAAGGAGAAAGATGTAGATCTACTGCAGCATAGTTTATAGAAAATTCTCTTTTCTTCACTCATTGTCTCCCTCTTTTAAAAATGTCACCACAATCAACATCATACTAAATGGGGGAACAGTGAAAGCCTTTCCTCTTTTAACTGCAACAAGACAAGAATGTCCACTGTCTTCACTCTTATTCAAAACAGTACTAACCGTCTTAGCTAAAG